GAAAGAAAGCAGAGTATATCCTCGCCTCCTGAGGTTTTTTTTCAATTTTCTGCTCTATTCAGTTTCAACTTTTATGGAGAGACATGCAAGTGAGTTAGAGAAATAAAGGAAAGAGAAGGCCCCCTATGAGGGCAGCAAAACAGAAATGAAATGGAAAAAAAAAAAAATCTGATTGTGGGCAAATGAACCGACAAAGACAAAATAATCTGTAACAGATAGAGGTAGAGGACTTTGTTTAATTTCATGTGTTTTGGATTCCACTGAGTTTCCACCAACTAAAAAAAAAAAAAAAACAAAAACTTATACAGAAGTACAAGTGCATGGTGCTAGAATTATTGTCAGGCATAGAAGATGAATCTCTACAAATATATTTAGAAAGAGGATTTAATGAACTAAGGTGTCTGGTGCAGATTTGGTATAGTGCTGGTCCAGATATGGAGAGCAGTCAGTCACAGAGATTTAGAGCTAGACCAAAAACGAAGGAGAAAGGGGGCAAAAAAAGACCATGAAAGAAAGAGAATGGTCTTCATGGGAGAGAATTCAAGGAATTGCAGAGTTTTAGATCACAATTAATGAGAAGTAGAGACCAATGTGGAAATACTTGAGAATCTGTTGAAGGAAAAAGCAAATACAATTTTAAATGCAAACTTCCAGCACAAACAGCAAAAGAGGCCAAATAGGTTGTAAAGTTGGAAAGTGAAGAGATCAAGCACCAGGCTTACACAAACAAAAGAGAATACTTTTCCCTCAAAGCACATAACTAAATTCAGAACCTTGTTGCCACAGGTTACTGTGGAAGCTAAGATGACAAATGTTTTGAACTGGGACTGGACAAGCAGGTGGAATATAAATAATGCTATAGTTAGGAAAGGTGCAGGGGGACTTCTGGTCTTACACGTTGTAGGAGACCTTGTTTTTGAAAGCACATTTCAAAATACAAATGAGGTTGTAACTCAGTCTTTCAGTTGCCTTTATTTGCAAAAAAAAAAGCTTGCCCAAGAAAAAAAAATACAAAATTGAGAGGCTGAAAACAAAGGAATATATCATGCCACTTTTTATTCCCCAGAGATCCTAAGTAACTGGCTCAAATGCTTTCTTAGTTAAAATTTGGGCAATAAGAACTGCCTTGACCGTCCACAGCTGCTGATTCACGTTCATTTCCATACTGCTCTTCTAGATAATTGCTGCACAACACATTATAGCTCTGACTATTTCAATTAATTTAATGCCTGGCTGTAGATTGGTGTATCAGGATGTCTCACCAAGGTGCTCTGTTTCAAACAGGGCTGCAAATTACCAAGCACTGCTGTTTCCATTAAGGGTTTCTCAACGATGTGGACTCGTGTCACTCACGCCAAGGCGGTGCTGAACTGAGACCTTGGCAGTGACACCCCGGGGTTGTGAACTGCTCCTCCAAACACAGCAGCCGTGTCCTCAGGTTGATTATGATGGAACACCTCCTTCCTCATCTCCAGCTAAATCACTGCAGTCATTACCGGAGCTCGGCGAGCAGAGTCTATGTTTTTGGGTTGAGCAACATGAGTTTGACAGTTTGCTCTGTTTTCTGGTGATTAATGACTAGTATTTGGACAAAGGTAAACAAAAATTCTTAATAAATTGGAAGAGAGTGAAAATTGCCTGGGGCCCATTACCAAAGAAAGGGTGTAATATATCTAGCCAGAATGTGCACTTCTAAAGCACTAAGCTTGCCAATTAGAATACAGAAATGACAACAGCTACGGGCATTAAAGCCTGTGCCTTTGTTACTGCATGAAGCAAATGTTTGAGCAAATGACATGTCTTGCCTTTGTGCTTCTGCCTATAAACTCTGACTTTGTACCCACCTTCCTGCTTCACAGAGTACTTTTTTGACATTTATTATTAACAATAAATGTTAAGAAAAATGAAATTAGCAGTCACATTGATTCAGCAAAGCAGCATGAGTATATTTAATACTCAAGCCTTTAACTTTATTCAAATAGATTAAATTTCTCTGAAGTCTGGTCTCTTTAATTATACAAAAAAATCTAAAAATAATTTTTATGTTGTTAGATATTAATTGTATTGGACAGATTTCCATTCATCTGCTTACAGCAATATTTATTTTCTCTGCCATCACTTAATAACAAAACAGTATTACCTCATTATCACCACTCACAGTGGAAAAAATACTACTCTTCTGTATAATTTTGTGTTTAGACAGGTCCAGTTAAAGGCCTGAGATATTCTTTGCTTGGTTTGTATAATTAATATATATAAATACTTTGCTAACACCTAATCTCTAATTGTGATAAATTATATTTTCCATTTTTAGTCAACATTCTCTCTACACTAAAGCTGCTTAAATCTTCTCTAAGTTAGGATGATAACTTAAAAAATTGAGAGAATTAGTAGATTGAGTATTACTGAGATTTGGATTTCTTAGGGGGACAAAAAAAATAAAAAAGGGAAAAAATGAGAGAAGCCAGATGAAGCTCTTATACCTTTAACACACAGAAAGAGAAAAATTTATTGAAATGAAAAAAGAAAGGAATAAAATGTATGAAAATCACAGTACATATAAGAAAAGGAAAGCTGTGAATCATATTGCCCTTCCCTGCCTCTGCAGAGGATACCTTCCACTGATGCCCCTGTTTCCTCACACAAGCTCGTGTGGGAAATCTGGCATGTACCTTGTCTTAGAAAGCTGATATTCAAGGTAAGAAGTCATATGATTAATGAGCTCTAACAAAAGAGTAGGACAAAAAATTACATCAAAACGTTAAGCACAGGGGAAGGGATGAGAAATCAAAGGATGCTTCCAGATATATTTAGGAAGATAAGAAAATAATACATCCTCTATTCAACAGAAGAATGCATCTCAGAAAATGATAAAAAGTAGGTTTTCTAGCCCCCCAGAGAGAGAGAGAGAAAAAATATTGTATAATTTTAGGAGGATTATGGTTCACTAGAGACATTCATGAATGTAATGAGCTAAAGAAGGGGTAAGGCTGCTTAAATTTATCTATACAACTGATTATGCTACACTTGATAAAATAATTGTGTCAGTCCCCTTTGTACTTAAAATAAACCTTACAACTCTGAACCCCAGTAAGTTGTTAAGTACTAAACATCATCTCATGCTCTGTCACATAACTCTGATTGTTTCAGAAATCTGGAAAGCACCTGACATTTACCTTCTCTAGCTCCAGCGCTGGAATCGCAGAAATGCAATTAGGAAAACTCAGGTACTCATAACAGAAAAGGTCAGCAGTGAGCAAGCTAAACCTGATAACATGCCTAATGTGCTGCCAAATATAATAGAATGCCTCCCTGATAATGAATGATTTTACAGACTGCCAGGAAGTTGATGCAAGATAATCAGATCAACAGAGGACACACCACTGTGCAAGAGCGGGTCTGGTGAACTGTTCTTTGATAGAGTTCTATTGCAGAGTCACCACTGATGGAAAAAGATCCCCCATTATAAAAGGCCATATTTTCAGAAATAATCACATAAATAAATTGGGCAGAAAACACAAATGACAGAAGTTTCAACATATGGTAAGTGCAGAAGCCGTTACCTCATCAAAGGCAGAGCACTTTGTGCCTGCAGCCAACAACCACCACACCACCGCCTCTGGGATGCAAAAGACATTCTTTCTCTTCCTCTTCTCGTAGCAGCCGATATAAATAGAGGTTAGAGGGTTTAGTTTTTCTGTTTGTCTTTAACACAGAAATACTCACGCAGCAGTACAGGCTCCGTGTTCCTCATGCAAAGAGCTCCTTATTTCTGTCACTAATCCTACATAAACTAATGGTGAACTTGAAGAAAAATGAAAAGTAACCTAAGTGTTTCTTTTGATAAATGACCTTTCATCAACAGTGCCAATAAATATCTCATTACTGAAAGCAGCACTTACTAGAAGTTTTATGCCAAATACCTAGAGGCAGGTAAACCTGCAGTGAAAAATGTTTCTGATACCTTACAACAACCAAGGAAATGTATACTTGTTGTAACTGAGTTCATCATGAGCAAATAAAATCTACATAATTCTCTTGTCTATTTAAAGACTAAAATTTGCATTAGATCTTTTCATTTTATTTTGTCATAGTTATAAGAAATTGCATTTAAAAAAAAATAGAGGGAAAAAAGTACCACCATGAACTAAAGTGGAGGTTCGGCCTCTATATTCTCTTATATTAAAATTCAAATTACGGAAATCATAACCTTCCAGGAATTACCTGTGATAAGAGAACACCATGTTTTGAGACTCCTAGATCCAAATTGCCAGGCTGTATTAAAGGCAAATGCTAATTTTATATTATAGTTTCCCCTACAGCTGGGTTGTATCAATCTATTTCATGACTGATGTAGACAGCACCTAGTTTTTTTACATGACACATATTGTTGCCTAATTTATTAGAGGGAAAAAAAAAAAACCAGCTGTAATTTAATGTGAGCCTTCCTATTTTTCCATTTTATTGGAAGCAGCATGATGCATTTTGGACATGACAGAGTTCTGAAGTCTGACTGTAACGAAGGGCCAGGTGACACCAGCTAACTTGTATGAGCTGAATTTTCTCAGTAGCAGGCTGTAACTTGTGTGAAGTATCCGATGTTCTGTCTTCAGTGGTCTACAAGAAGCCAAGCAGAAAACCTCAAGTGCGCACCTGTCTGATATTTTTCTTCATATATCCTTCTGTAACCAGCTTTATCTGAATAGCTGGGCCTGAGGCAAGCATTTATAAAACAGTACCCACACAGTGCCAAACATTTTTACAGGTGCTTACTTAGCAAAAAGTTCACAGCACAAGTTATTTTGTTTAAACTGTAAGAAGAGAGGCATGCCAGTAAAGGAAAGACAACACACTCCCCTCAGCTAGGTGACAGCATTGATAAAAATGCAATTACACTTCCAAATTTTCTTGCTATTCTTTCCACAATGACCATAAGCACCTGATAGTATCAGCTGGACCTGTTAAATATGCATAGAATGCACTAAGGAGAGCACACTCACCATGCACTATCAGGACATACTCTGTGCTGTTTCGGCCAATGGGATTTTTTGCTTCACATCGGTATGTGCCATTGTCTGTTTTGTTTAGGAAGCTGATGCTTAGAACCCTGCCATTGACAACCATTCTCTCTGGATCTGGTAGTTCTCCACCATCCTTTGTCCACAGTACTGGTTCTGGCCTGTTGGATCAAAGCAAGGCATTCATTTAGACACGTGAAACACGTATATGCAACATCTACATCAGGAACAGCAGCATCAGCTACTCATGAACAGTCACCTACCATCCCAAGAATACTTCAATTACTGGATCTAATGAATTGTCACAGTTACAACCTTACCATCCTGGATGTGAACCTCTAAAGAAAGTGAAAGAACAAGCAGAGAAACAAGAAAGATAAATAAAAAAAGGAAGCAGAACAGTACTACAACAGGACAAGATCTTTCCTAAATTTCAAAAAATTGTTCTCATGAGGTTTCAGGGCCCACAGATTCTTGGCAAGGTAAGTGCAAATAGGATGATATGGGTGTAAGTGGTTTGTAAATGTATTCTTAAATTACCTAGGCCATTCATATTCACAAGTAAACTTGAATGCACTGAGTATTTTTCCTGAACCAGGCATATCAGTCCCAAAGTAGCACGTGCTACACACAACCTAAACTTGTTTCTCTTGCTGCAGTGTGTCACAGCCCACCCCTTTTCCCACCTTTTCTTCATCCTTCCCTTAAATAATTCCTTGTTCTACATGTTATCACAAGCAATGTAAGATTCAACTCGAAATCCTGGATTTTCTTTTCTTGTGAAACCTTTCCTCTTTTGCCTGATGCACTCACATCAAACATGCCAAAGGCAATGCCCTGGCAGTGATCAGCCTCTAGGCAAGGTAAGGGCACCACAGAGAAGGGAACTGTCAGTCCTGAAGGTTCACATACACCTCCCCACTGGCAAGGCATCCCTGACTCCTTCCCAGAGACTCTCAAGAAGCTCCACAGTCCATGAGCCCTGCCTAACAGACAGCAGGATGTATTTATTACTGACACACAGCCTTTACTTGCGTGTAACAAGATATACTTTCAAATTTACGTGAGGGAAATCACCAAAAAGACAGGCCTGTAATTGGGAATGAAAGATTGGTTTACTGAATCTTGTCTGTGAGCAGACAGCATCTCAGGCCCTTTCACACCAGTCACTTCAGCAGGATATTCACAGCCTGGGCATTCAAAGATACTTTGCTTGTAGCTTTGTGCAGTATAAGCCACATCAATCTCTAACCAAAGATGCCAGTTGTATGACTCAGTAATAAACCAAAATATAATACACTGTTATAAAATCAGCAGTTGCCAGGTTAGTCACCAGTAGTACTCAAGAAACACTTCATTTCTCTAATTTGAAGCAAGTGTTTAAAGCCTATTAGATATAATAAGTGCTAAAAAAAAGAATTAAACCTAAATACTTAAGGAAAAGCATTTAGCCAAACTGTGGCTTCATAGACAGAAAAATAGTTCTGATGGCTGTAATGACACGATTTTCTTTTGAGTTAGACAACCCATGTAAACAGAGGGAATCTTTCTGAAATGCATTTAGTTCTACAAAATTCAAATTAGTCCTTGAAGAAAAATCTTTATTCTGAAATTTAATAGATTTACATACATTTTAGCAATATTTAGGATGATACCCTGTTGAAATGTTGTCAAACTTAGTACTTAGACTGGCTATTCTCTGAAGCCTTGATTTTTCCCAGAAAATCATATGCTCAGAGAATAAAAGCAAGGATTAAGAACCGGTGATGTGATGGGCCTTATTTATGCCTTACCATAAATATGCCTTAATCCTCTTCCTGAATTCATCTTCATGAACTGGTATGCACACACACATGATACCCAATATGTACACACGTTCTGTTTTATGCAAGCAGGGAATCCAGATGTCCATGCATGTAGAAACATCGCCCTACAGAGTTCCCAGCATTAAGGTGTGATTTGCCGCGATACGTTCAGGTGGATTTGTTCAATTTTCCGGCCAACTCTGCATTGTTTCCCATTTACCAGCTTACTGTGGATCTGTAATCCCAGGAGTGGGGACTCTGAAACACTTCTGCTACAAATGTGCACCATTACCTGCATAAACGGCGTGTTAAAGCAACTTCTGTGCAGCGGTAATTTATGGAACTTAGGTTTCAAATTGAAACTAGATGGCATATCCTAGGGGGAAACCTATAGGATAACAAATAAGTATGAAATGGAGCTGTAGATATAAATTATTCAGGGAGCTCTGTCACATTGTAATACACCAACTCTAGTCTTATACAGAGCACTTAGCTGTGGTTGCAAAATGATGTGCGGCAGAAAAGCCAGGGCTTAGCGAGAGGCAGATCTGCATTCTCTGGGTGTTGGGGAAGCTGCTGATCAAGAGTGAATATTCAGCCATCCTGTGCTGTATTTGTGGCAGCAGCAGAACAATTCCCAGGCAGCAGGACCACAGGAACACATCCTGGTGGCCGGGCACAGCTCTCCCTCCACCTCACCGCTCCCGGGCACGGTGGTGCCTAAAGCAGCAACTCTGTCACGGGCACAGAGGTAAACTCTGCCTGCACTGCTGGGGAGCTCTGACATTCTTGGTCTAAGCAATTCACAGGTTAGGAAGAAGTGAGCTAAGAACGTGAGAGGTGCTCCTGCACCCAGGCCATCACACTGCTGTGGTCAGCAACAGTGGGATGGCTCTTTCAGGAAAGCATGGGAGTACATCCATTTCCTGCTGTCCATTCCTCCTGCACTCTGCCAGCAACCACAGCCATCCTGTCAGGGGTGCTGCAGGACACATCTCTCCTTCTCTTTTGTATCTTCTCAATATTTAGACCTGGTGCCTATAAAAATATCTTTTGGAATCTTCTTATGCTTGTCTGTCAACCCAACCTTCTGCAGCAATGAGTTCTGGAAGTTCCCGACCTGCCATGCAAAATGATGTTTACTTTTATCTGTCTTTCACTGCTCTCCTAGAAGTGGCAATGAATATTGCAGGACAGGGTAACACTCCTTCCTGTTATAACAGCCCAGCACTTAGCAGGCCTGTCTCTCCCCCTTTTTCTCTGTTTGTTAGAATTTGATGTCTTCTGAGATTATCAGCAGGGAAAAAAACTACACAAAAAAAGGGGCAAAGGAATCCTGACTTTAGAGCACATTGGCTATTCTTTCATAGTTGCCTTTGCACCTTCATTGTCCAAAGCTGAAAGACTGGAACAGCTTGCTTTCTCTGTCACAAGGCATAGACAAGTGTGCATTCCCCACACATTTATCCTACTGAAACCTGTCCATATGCGCAGGCCCAGGCAGAGATTCTTGTTCCTACCCAACATTTTGAAAGGGATGCTTAGGTTTGCCATGCTAAAACACCTGACAAATATGTACATTCCTAATATTGCATATTTTCTCTATTGCATACATCTCCAACATTGCATAATTTCAGTGAGTTTTTGTTGTTTTTTCTTTAATACTAATGAATTGCCACAACTTTCTCGATTCCTGAACCAGAACAAACGGGGATGCTTGTACAAACACTACCTTCCATTACAGCATTCAGTGAAAGCCTTAGAAAAACGCACTGGTTTTTAGTATGGAAATTTGAGTTTGTTAACTGTCTTCATGTTAGCCTCAAAACCTGACATAGAGCCAACAAAATTTGCTATTCCTTTCCAGTCAGAACAAAATGGGATTAAAATGAAGGTATAAAACACTGAAGTTCCACAACAATTCATGTTTTATATTGTGGTACTTTTCTTACAAACAACTGAACAAAGAAATGGTAAATACAGCAAAACTATTTTCTGGTCTTGAGAGTAGAGAAACTTTCAAAACAAATCAGAGAGAAAGGTAAAGGCAAACTGAAATACAGTGGGAAAAAAATAAATTAAAAACCACATGTTTTGGCACTGCCTTACCTTTTCAACAAGTGTTGACATAACATGAAAGTCAACAATTATATTTGTCTACATTACTTTTTATTTTTTTTTTTAGCTGAGGCCTTTGAAATTACACAGGAGTATTTTAAGATGAGATTGGCAATTTTCTGTCCCTTTCTCCACCCTTAACCCATGTACAGCAATGTTTCAGTGCGTTCCTGTAATTCTCCTCTCTAGTGAGATCTTTATATATAATTATAACAGTTAACTCACCCTTCATTTAAATATTATACATATATCTATTGCATTATGTTTTCTTTTTGAACAGAGTGAATTTAAGCAATGCAAACCATTTTAACTTGAAACTTCTTGGCTGTATGCAGTTTTGTTGCCCTTTTCTAATTTTTGTGTACAGAAAGGTCACGTACAAAGCGTTCTTCATGGAGTCCTTAATGAACAACACTTGGACAACTTACTGACCCATTATAATAGCACAGAATAACCTTTTCATTTCCATAAGATCACACTCAGAAAAAAGCCCTGACCAACCAAAACAAACAACAAAAATATCCCAAGGGAACCTTTTTACGTGTCCAGTCTCAATGGGGATGTTATCATCCAACTGGGTCTTGAAGCATCCTGTCAAAATTTTGTAGCCAATGTGGGTATAAATAGAGATGGAAGATGAAGAATTTGAGGAAGACTAACAAGACAAAACAAAATTCATTATTTTGAGTAGATCCCTCGCCAAAAATATATTTTAGTTCTCCAAAGAGAACTTGTATTCTCTGAAGTCCATAAAAAACATAATCTAGTGGATATGTTCAAATGAGTAATGGAAAATGCATCACAAGATTTATCAGTGTTTCTTGTTGAAAACTTGGTGCAATGTTAAAAGTCATCTAAGGGAATGATTGCTTCATTAATTTGAAACTTATAGTTCCTTTGTATCAAGAAACTGGATTTTTAGCTTTGCCAGTTAATCATCCACTTGAAAGTCTAAACCCTGGGGGAACCTCTTGTTTATATGAAGTCTCAGTCTGAGGAGTCATATTGGGATGAGCTGGTTTGGGAGCATTTCATCTATCAAAAACATCAATATCCACAGTGTCTAACCTTTCATAAAAGGCTTGGATGGATAGATTTTATTTTATGAGATAAGAACTCTCTGTGATTTTCTATTTCTGCAAAACCTGAGTAACCTTCACAGAGTCTTTTTCTCCCCAGAAGAATTAGTAAAGAATATCCAAAGCAGCTTTCACAAAGTTCTCTCATTTTTTAAGAAG